ACTTCATCAGCAACAGCCCCCGCCACTGGCCACTGTCCTGCGTCGAACGCAACCCATCCGTTGAATTCCCAACTTGCAGCTTTTTACGGCGAGGAACTGTTAATTCCCCTGGGGAATCACGCGTTCTCGGCTATCAGGCGACAGCTTGTATCAGTATGTGAGATTTCAGGTTGCAACGGCGACGAGAACATGACAATAGGAATCGACCAACTTCTCATAGACGCTCACTGCCTTGACGACGGACACAATAAATACCTCTTACACGTCGGTCGAGGGCCACGGTGGTCTAGCGGTTAGAACGCTGGCCTTGTAATCCTGGGGGTCTCGGGTTCGATTCCCGGCGGTGCCCGAATTTATAACTTGTGTTGGGCAAGGCCGTGGTCTAGGCTTCCCCGGTTTCTCCGTGGCATCCCCACAATTACTCCATTCACACCCAGAAGAAGGCAATGGCAAACCACTTCTGGATCATCTGCCAAGAACGTATATGAACAGGTCCCAGTCCGAGAAAAGGATGGAAGGATCCTGTTCATATGGACCTGTCGTCAGACAGAACACTACAAATAAAAAACACGTCGGTCAACAACCCACAGGTATCTTCATAAGAACCACAAAAATTTCACGGGATGGTTTGGGCAGCGGATGTAGAATGCGAGAAACAGAAATAGGGGCAAACGTACACCCACCCCTTCACAATCAAGTACATTTATTTCTGTCTCAACACAAGATAATGACGTCGCGTTCCGAAAAGGCAACGATAGATTTAAAAGTGGCCACGCCATTAAGGCATGGAGGTAAAGTTCCATGCAAACGGACAGCATCTGGCGCTATTGTGAAGCCAAGCTGAGATCACTAAGCATTCTTATGCAAATGCCGCGGCGTGACGGCCTCGGGCGTTCCCACGTCGCACGCTGCGGTAAAACGAGAATGGAAAGCTTCATGTTCGGTTACTGCCTGTACGAATGCTAATCGCACCAGGACACTGCCTTATATCCACGAAGTCGGGAATACAACTCCGACAGAAATTGCAGAGACACATCATTAAGAACGAGGTTCATATTTTACGTCTTACGAGTAAGGTCTGCCACGGCGAAAAAAAAAAGGCTCGTATTTTATACCACGGAAGAGTCGCTTTTGAGAAAAATTATCAAGTTCTGTTTGAACTTTATGAAAAGTAGGACGAAAATTAAACTCGCCCGACAACTTTTCCAACACCACTCATGAAAACAAAAATAATTGGAATGCCTTGAGTAGCTTCGGAGACCGAACACGCGCGAGAATTGCAGGCGGGCACACATCTTTCCAGTACGCGGTCGTTTTATTCACTCTGTAAAATGAATCGCCAACCTTTTCCAGGTGACGAGCAAACGGAAGACGCTTATAACATCTATAGAGCGGGCACCATATAAACCCAAAACCGCTTATCAGAAAGTAGACGCTTTGCATCACGGCCTTTCCAGCTACCACAGGATATTCATCGTGAATCCAGCTACAACAGGAGGATATTCATCGTGAACTGTTAACCAGAAAGACTCCAAATGGTCCTTTTTTCTTCAAATAACATTTTGCGCTCTGCAAAAACCATTAACACCATCGGGGATTTCAGTCAAGTCACACAGAAATGGGTGTCGTTACCCAAAGAAAAACCACTTTTACCCATTTCTGGGTAATTTACCAAGGTTTCGGAAGCACTGATACAAACCTAACGGAAAGAATGTTGTGAACCGAATCTAGCATCTGGTATACAAAGTGGAACAAGATACGACGCCAAAATGTGACATATCATACGACAATTACAGAATTAAATTTTTAAAGCTCCTTATGAATATTCTGAAATTCTCATTGGCACCCTAACTCCTTCAGGGGCATCATGGTTGGAGATATCAGACACAGAACTTGAAACATCGCCCTCATTATGAAGGCAATACGCACCTCTGAAACGTCGAAAAACTTGTATCAGACTACACACTCCCAAATTCTCATCCTCCGCAACATTCAAATCAGATTTACAAAAAACACAACCAAGTTGCTTAAGAGGAACGCAGAGGCAACAGAACTTCCGGGGCAGATGCGATTGACTGGGCATGGAGCGGGAAAAAGTTCGAAATTAATCATCCGCGAGGAACACGGTGAAATTGGAGTAAGACATTAAGATGAGATGAGGTTCTCACGGGGGTAACGATGTCCCTATTTGTCTGGGTTGTAACGCCTTGTGTACTTTCAGACACAAATCAACGTTTCAAAAGAACATACTGCCTCCACCATCAGGGCTGAACCCATCAGACCAACATCGACAACACGAAAATAATCGTAGGGAACTTGTGAAGATGTGACATGGACGCAACCTTCACAGGATCGTGTTCAAAAGGCGGTGTTACGACCTACGGGCACCGTTAACAGAAAGTTTGATTGGTTTGAACCGGCTCAGTGTCTGAACTGGCTTGTCTGAACGTGAAATCGGGTCAGCGAGCATGTTCACCGTAATGAAGACACGGTGGTCGTGCAACGGGTCTCTCGCGTTCTATCACAAAAACTATCGATATTAACTAAAACATCGATTTACGCTGTGAGAGGGAGTCACAGAACTCGTTCCCATAATTACCGAGTAGGGCGCCGGATGCCCTTGTGGGTCAAAACTACAAAAATCACAACCGCCATTATTGTAATTATATCAACACAATCGGAACGAAGTTCTGGGAAGAACGCCCACTTCCTCCAAATTCTTCATTCCGCACGGTGACGATACCTAATTAAAATGTACACGATTTAGTGGTCCATATATGAGCATAATTTTAATTAATGCAAATTCCGACAGCGTCAAATGCCACAAACGGATGTAACTCAAGTTTAAGCATCGTCGGAAAATTTGTAATTCACATGCAAAAAAGTTTTATCCAGATTGCCAAAGCTATGATCAAATTTTACATTAAATGTCACGTGCCTGATTTTAGTGTTATCGCCACCAAACCGAACACTGAATATAAATGTCGAGTTCCACAAAATAAAACAGCTAAAAAAACTTTAGATAATTTCCGAAGCTCCAGTATCACTAAACATTTTATAAACTACCCCAATAGTTCGCATTGCAGTCAAGTTAGCAGTATGAAGGTGGGGTTATTATTCGCGGCACGATGTTCACAGCAAATTTAATAAAAATCCGCGAATCATTTAAAAATTATTACGGCCGGACACGCGGACATAACGCAACACAAGGAACACAGATAACCTTTAGACACTGCGCCCCGTTAACGATGTCAATCAGCGCACCTGGCAGGTGCCGTTCCGGCCATCAGCTGCCGTAAGCGAGCTTCAAGCAGTCGGGAAATCAGTAATAACGCAACACAGTAGTAAAGTTCAAATGGCTTAGCGTCATAAGAGCACTTCTACTGGCGGACACTTATGATAAGTGGAGTTCGAGATTTTCCAACTTTGTTACAGTCGTTCACTCACTGTAAACGAGGATTTCCAGACATCCTGAAACTAAATAAGTACGCTACTTATGTTTAAATAGCCAGTACTCACTTGCAGTAGGACTCCCCGCGTGGTGACGACACACATGTACCGCCATTCTTGCAGGGGCTGGGAGAGCACGACACAAAACCTGGAGAGAAAAAAAATGTGATCATTGTACTGCTAGTTCTGCTCTATAAGTCGACAGTCAATCCTAAATGCTCATTGCTGCTGTCCTCCTGCGCCACCTGAATAAAGTCCACTAACTTAAAAGATCATTTTAATATTATCCTCTTATCTACGCTTAGGTATCCCACCTGGTCTCTTCCCGTCCTTTTCAGACTAGAATCTCGTATGTTTGTCATCTACACTAGTCGTGCTACAAGTCCTCCTCATCCCATCCTCCTTGATCTAATCATCATCATTATAATAGTATTTGCTGAACGATACTTATTTATCCATCCTCCTATATCTCCTCTCTCTGAGGTCCAGTTAACATACGCCCGCTGTTCTCACTCTACGTCTGCGTTGTCTTCGGACAAAAGATCAAGTTTCGGATTAATATAAAACAATAATAATAATAATACGACTTATTGTTTATTTTATTTATTTATTTAGTGTTCTGTCTGACGACAGGTCCATATGAACAGGATCCTTCCATCCTTTTCTCGGACTGGGACCTGTTCATTACGTTCTTGGCAGATGATCCAGAAGTGGTTTGCAATTGCCTTCTTCTGTGTGTGAAGACCACGGCCTTGCCCAACACAAGTTATAAATTCGGGCACCGCCGGGAATCGAACCCGAGACCCCAGGATTTCAAGGCCAGCGTTCTAACCGCTAGACCACCGTGGCCATCACTTATTGTTTACAAAAGCAAATTCTAATTCAGATAATGCCGAAACTCCAACAAGAATACTTAATCAGAATTAGCCGAGAACAGTGAAACATCGGTGGGACGACGATTCGTAGCAGAAAACACGTGCTCTATTGCCATTTTATCTGCCTCGGATTGAACGATGACCTACGGGGTGTACAACCACCGTTTAATCACCAAAGTTTTACCACT